TACAAGTGCAGAAGTAACAACAGGAAAGCAAATAACCACTACTCTCCCTACTCCACCAACAACAAAAGCTGGAATTATCTCCACTGCATTGACCACTAGTCCAAGCACACCTATGGTGTCTACAAGTGCAGAAGTAACAACAGGAAAGCAAATAACCACTACTCTCCCTACTCCACCAACAACAAAACCAGTCACTTCTGGAATTATCACCACTGCATCCACCACTAGTCCAAGCACACCACCGGTGTCTACAAGTGCAGAAGTAACAACAGGAAAGCAAATAACCACTACTCTCCCTATTCCAACAACAACAAAAGCAGTCACTTCTGGAATTATCTCCACTGCATTGACCACTAGTCCAAGCACACCCATGGTATCTACAAGTGCAGAAGTAACAACAGGAAAGCAAATAACCACTACTCTTCCTACTCCACCAACAACAAAACCAGTCACTTCTGGAATTATCACCACTGCATCAACCACTAGTCCAAGCACACCCCTAGTGTCTACAAGTGCAGAAGTAACAACAGGAAAGCAAATAACCACTACTCTTCCTACTCCACCAACAACAAAACCAGTCACTTCTGGAATTATCACCACTGCATCCACCACTAGTCCAAGCACACTACCGGTGTCTACAAGTGCAGAAGTAACAACAGGAAAGCAAACAACTACTATTCTCCCTACTCCACCAAAAACAAAACCAGTCACTTCTGGAATTATCTCCACTGCATCCACCACTAGTCCAAGCACACCACCGGTGTCTACAAGTGCAGAAGTAACAACAGGAAAGCAAACAACCACTACTCTCGCTACTCCACCAACAACAAAACCAGTCACTTCTGGAATTATCTCCACTGCATCCACCACTAGTCCAAGCACACCCCTGGTGTCTACAAGTGCAGAAATAACAACAGGAAAGCAAGCAACCACTACTCTCCCTACTCCACCACCAACAAAACCAGTCACTTCTGGAATTATCTCCCCTGCATCCACCACCAGTCCAAGCACACTCGTGGTGTCTACAAGTGCAGAAGTAACAACAGCAAAGCAAACAACCACTACTCTCCCTACTCCACCAACAACAAAACCAGTCACTTCTGGAGTAACAACAGGAAAGCATATAACCACAATTGTTTCTCCTCCATTGTCAACTCTTGTGTCTACGAGTCTAGGAGTATCAACTGGTAAGCAAACAACTACAAATCTTTCTATTCCAAATAAGTATTCCATGAAATACTTATTTGATGACCCCAAAAATAGAGAGAAAGGAGCAATAGAGTATATCATGTCATTTCCATTATTATCTTACATGTTCTCAGCAAGACATTCAAGGCCCATTTTTCACTGCATATTTATCAATTCAGCTGTTGTAGCAATTTTTCTATTTTAATGGGAAGTTGTATTTGCTCCCATTTTTTAAAGAAACAAGTTCTTCATTCACGTTTGCTTAATTGATATTACAATATGTGGCCTAAGGCTGGATTTTTCTGACAGTACTTTCAATAAATATGGATTTGATGTAGTCAGTAGTGAATGACTCTCCTAAGTATGAGGCTGTTGTCCTAAGTGTGGTTGTAGAATTTTTTAAGTTAACTCTGATTTTTGTAGGGATAGGAAGTTTTTCTCTTGCTGTAATTTTTGAAAGGCAGTATTTAATTTTGGTAGTACAATTTCAGTTGGTATCAAACTCATATCATATCGTTACTTCTATGTTATATTTTGTGTCTTTGTCAATATCAGGTTCCACACTAGCAACTACTTTAAGCAGAGCAACTCCATGTTTCTGCCATGTATCTGGAACTCCTGATTCTTTATTTTCTCCTGGTGAGTTTCATCCAAAAATTGCTTTTACTATAGATATATTTATAGTTCACCCTTCCACATATGTACACTATATTTTTCGACTGCTTTATCTGGGAAAAGCTGTTTTGCTGAGAAGCTAATGAAAATGCCGTCATTTATTCAGGCATTTAATATTTTATTATTATATAATGCATCTGACAGCATCAGTTTCTATTTTGAATGCTTAATTTAGGATAAGGATATTGGTCCTTCGAGATTCATTACCATATGCTAGTCATTCCTTTTATGGGGAGAGCAATGTATAGTTTGCCACTCTGCTCCCCAGCATTTGGATCATGAGTTCTGTTTCTTCCCAGGATCCTCAGGCTTGAGCTAGACAAGGGTATAAATTATATTTTCAGACATTTTTCTTATTCTCCCAGTTTGTATAATATGGACGGTTTTTGTGAACATTTCTGTTAATATCTGCCTTTTGATGAGTATTTTTCTTAGAGACTGCATTGTTTTATATTCTGATTAGGAAACATTTTCCTTAATAAATGTGTTATGTTAATTTTCAATTATCAATAATTTTGCTTAATATTTTAAAACTATTGATTTTGGCTTGCATATAGTCTCTTATTCCCCTTTAGATTCAGGAAATTTTGCAGTTGGATGGAATAAATTATTTATCCATTTCTGTCTGGCACCATTTGGAGCTAGGCAAGAAAAAGGAATGGTTATTGATCCTCGTGCTAGTCTCTCTCTCTCTCTCTCTTTCTCTCTCTCTCCTTCCCTCCCTCCCTCCCTCCCCCTCTCCCTCTCTCTCCCTCCTCCCTCTCTCTTGACACTTGCTCATTATAAATCATGAAAGCTGTAATATCATCCACGTTTTGGGGGGAGTAACACCCACTTTAAAACAATGGGCCTCCATTCAAAAAACACATCCTGAATCACTTTTAATGATAACTTATTTGATGCTTATACAATATACCAGATTTACTTCTGCATAAACTTGATTAGAAGACATGTTGCAATCATAAAACATAATGTTTGAATTACACATGCTTTTAACATTTAATTATGTGTTTGGGTTCATAGCATTTGTTCATGCTGCTTTTTAATTTGTTGATTCTTTTAAACAGGGGACGTAATATATAATAAAACTGATAGTTCTGGATGCCGTTTTGTTGCAATCTGTGATGCAAATTGTGAAATTAAGAGGTATCCAGTATTCTGCCCTACAACAACTCCCCATCCAGTTACAACTACAGGAACATTACCGATTGTCAGTTCTACAACTTCTGCTCTACCAACTAAACCACACACTTCCCCAACTCCCACAAGAACTCAGGAAATCATTTCCTCAACTTCTACACCATATTGCCTTAATGTGGATCCACCTAGAAAGGTAATGTTCTTTTTAATGCACTCCCGATACAATTTTCTATTGATTAGGATGAAATATGACATTTACAAGACTTGCATTTGGAATTTATACTAATGGGGCACAACTCGCTAAACGTTTGCTTTTAGTAAAGCAAACATTGGAGTTTTAAATCTGGGGTGATAACATGAAGTCCCCAAACACCTTCTTGTATTTCCCAAAACTCACTCTGACTACATCTACTTTTGCCCAGTACTTGACCTAGAAGACAAAATGCAAAGTATCACATAAGCTCTAAAAACAAATTGAAAAAAAAGAAACATGTCAACTCGTAAAGCATTCTTGGCCTGCTCTTGAGTTGCCATAGGCAGGAAGGGAGAGCTGCCATGACCAGAACCACATTCCACAGATATCTTTCTCCAGATTGTATCCCAGGTTACCAGAGAGGCATATTTTTTACAGCCCATGAAAATACTCCATTGGAGAATGTGATTTATGATGCACCCTGGGAGGAGGGAGGAAACTGGGTCATGGTTGGGCCATAAATCACGTGGGGCAGAGTTAACTCCATTCGGGTACATGCTGACATGTTGCTCCTAATAAATAACTGGATTTCTTTTGAAACTTGGCTCGAGGCTCATGAATTAATTAGGGCATCTCTCAGAACCCTAACAAAAGAACCTCCTTCAAATCTCTTTGGAAAGAAAAAGTGATGTTGACTATGGAATGTGGAGACCCATGTTCAAATTTCCAGTTGTAACTTTTTTTCTTACTGCAAACATGGATCCACAAAACGAAGTCTTGTGCTTTCAAGATTCCTGTTGGTCTCACTTTCTGAAAGGGTGATCTGCTTTAGAACCAATACTGATCTGTTTTAACATTTTGCAATAAGCAATATTTCCATCCAGTGACAAACATTGACAGAGATGTCAGCATTTCAAAAAGTGCTCTGCCAACTATTTTATCACCAGAAAGGGAAAGAAGGATGATGTTATGAGGATAGCACTCAATGCTCTTCTTTATTGTGTTATAGACCTTGGGTGGGAACAACTAACTACAGTGACTCTTCCTTTACACTCAGGTCCTTATTTTAGTCCCATCTTCCTTAGCATAGCTCTCATTGTTCCAAGCAAGAGTCTTTCACAGTCCTTGAGGAAGAAGATTGAATGAAGTTCTGTATATGCAAAACATGTCTTTTTTTACTCAACTCATAGTATCTCCCTGGACACATTCATGCAATTTTCCTGGCAACACTATGGAAATAATTTGCCATTGCACTTTTGTTGTGATTTTTTAAATTCTTTTTCCAGTCTAGTTTAAAACCTAGGATTTCTTAGTGATTATTTATACAGCTACTAAGCAAACGTATACCTGATTATCTTATGAGGCCAGACAAAATCAACTGGCTGCTCCCTGGTGGCACTCTTTGTTTCCCAAATGGTATTATTTCTGCACATTGGAAAGATCCCCATTTGCTTCCCAAATAGGATTGGTCCCCATTGCTCCCTAACTGACCTTACCTCTTTCTTTCTTTCTTTCTTTCTTTCTTTCTTTCTTTCTTTCTTTCTTTCTTTCTTTCTTTTTAATGAGGTCAATAATTTTAGAATAATGTTCTCTTGTTTACCTCCCAGTATAATGAAACATGGATGTTTAATAATTGCACTAAAGCAACATGTGAGGGGAACAACCGAATTGTTGTGTCACCGCTCCCACAACCTGAGAAGATAACCTGTGCCAATAGACTTGAACCAAAGCGAATAGTGGATAAAAATGGTTGCACAGAACGCTATGAATGTGAATGTAAGCAAAATAGATTACAGTTTAACACTTATATTTACAAAGGAGTAAGCTCTGTCAGGTTTAACTACACCACATTTATGCAACTACTTGTAGCATTCCAGCTTTGGTTTCTGGAAGAAAAGATATTATATTTTAATTTTATGTCATCTGTGACTATCATTGTCTCATATATATATATATATATATATATATATATATATATATATATATATATATATATATATATATATATATATATATATATATATATATATATATATATATATATATATATATATATATATATATATATATAGTCACAACCCCTGGTATGCCCAAATATGGGAGGAAGGTCACACTTCCACTCTCTGTCTTTGGCTCGTCACAAGAGACCATCTAGACAGAAACCCAATATTTTTTACTGTTGCTTTTTTGTTACATTTGTTATATTTATGCTGATAAATAAATAAAGGGAGACTAGTATAGATCTATTTCAAGCTATTTAGCTCTCATCAGCTAGCCATACCCTATGTTGGGAACCGAACCTGTGCTCTATTGCCTCTTAGGCAGATGTGTTAACCATTGAGCTACAAGGCTCGACTCCTTATCAGCCAGCCAGGGTCAGAGGTATATACTTAAAGTCACAACCCCTGGTATGCCCAAATAGCTCAATGGTTAACACATCTGCCTAAGAGGCAATAGAGCACAGGTAAATATAACATATTATATATGTTATATATATATATATATAAGCATGTATATATCACCTGTAGCCGGGATGGCGAACTATGGCACACGAGCCACAGATGGCACATGAAGCCATTTGGAGCTGAGTTCACCCTTTTTAAAGCCATTTTTCGCCCTCCACAGGTTCCAGAGGCTTTATAGGAGCCTGGGGAAGGCGGAAAGAGCCCCCCCACCCCCTCCCAAAGGCCCTCCGGGGGCTTCATGAGCTTCCCTGAAGCCTACAGAGCACAAAAAACCAGCCCTATGGGCAAACCGGAAGTTCGGGAATGGACTTCCGGTTTGCTTGGAGAGTGTTTTAAGCACTCCAGAGGTTGCAGGGACCTTCTGGAGGCTTCCCTGAAACCTCCGGAGCAGTCAAAACGACCCTCCGAGCAAACCGAAAGTCACTTCCGGTTTGCTAGGAGGGTCGTTTTGAAGCCTTTGGAGGCCTCTGGGCAGGCAGGAGAGGCTGTTTTTGCCCTGGGGAGGGCAAAAAAGCATACAAAAAATTGGGGGTCGTGACTGTAGTGTGTGCATGCACACTGGGGGGGTCATGCATTGCATTATGCGTGCAGCACACCCACACATGACCCCCCTTCGCTCCCCCCACTTATGGCAAGTGAGCCAAAAAAGGTTCGCCATCGCTGACCTATAGCATCAGCCAAGTTATGATTTAGTCACTTTTTCATGGTTACTAGAGAGCTCTGTAGTCCTTCAAATGTCATGGTTACTAATTCTTTCAGTGGTGTACTAAATATACTTTGTTAAAATTTCTGAAGACTGCATGCCTAAATGTGTACCTTTTGAAATTTTTCTCATAGGTATCTGTAAGGGTTGGGACCATTATAATTTTATGACTTTTGACGGCACTTCTTACACTTTTCATGGCAACTGCACTTATATCTTGGTACAAGAGATTGTGAATAAATTTGGAAACCTCCGTATTTTGCTTGACAATGCCTTCTGTGATGTAGCTGATAATCAATCCTGTTCCAGATCCCTGATTATATATTACAACTCTATGGAAATCCGACTAGTTAGTGAAATGCATGAAGGAGTGAGAGTTAACGAGGTAAAGTGTCTTAAGGTTTTAAAAAATAATAATGTTTCAACCAAATAGAGAAAGCTATAGTCATGGTAAGACAATATTGCAAAATAATTGTTGAATCTTATTGTTATGGTGAGAAAAGAATTTGTGTTTTTTTAATGTTGAGCTATCTTTAGGACAGACCAACTACTCTAACTTTAATCTTGAATTAAAGTTTATTTACGGTGTGATGTTTCCCCATACAAATACATTTCATAAAGTTCAGATAAATATCTTCCTAGAAACAATGCCATTAGGCCACACTGTGGTAGAATTAGAAGCTCCCAGATGACTCACAGAGCCACATAGTGATGGAAGGGTGGAACAGAAACTGTTGTAATAGCTAAGCCCAGGCTACAACTAAACACCATTTTGAACTGAAGCCATTTCCCATGTAAACAGATGACTACCAAATCATAACACTGCCCTTTGGAAAAGATGTTTGATAGGAACAGAAGAGTATTCACACATCCAGCCCTTCACATTCTAGTTGCCCATTGATTATCTCCCTTCAGAAGCTGCAAGCCTGAACAGTTCAGCCAGCTGTATTTTACTCAGGGAAAATTTTTTATTGCCAATTATGTATAGTTGCAATTTCAAACAGTTGGACATCGCTGAATCATACAGATAGAGAAACATGCATATGGGAAACAAAAGGAGAGAGAAAGAGAGAGGGAGGGTGGGAGGGTGGGAGGGAGATATCGTGTGTGTATACACATACACATATACAAATAGTTTATTTAATCTTCAATTTGATTCATAGTCTGGGACTGGTAAAAACTTAACAGTTCTAACCAATGACCTAAGAGATATTAAGGTAATGCCTCAGTATGCAGGCACTTCCGAGTAAGTCAGAATATTATTGTTATTATTATTTGAATGTTAGCTTGAACAGTACTTTGGGGAAAAGGCAGGTTACAACAAACAAATTTTTAAAAAAATTCTAAAAGGCAGCAGAACATAAGTATTATAGAAGCAATGGAACTAAAATGCATTAGAATGGTGTAAGGTAAATTGTTCAGATTTATACTGCAGTATGCTCTTCAATCTTCTTTATCCTGATGTTTCTAGATGTTTTTTGGCAACGAATCTGTCACAAAGGGTTTTGCCAAAGATGGCATTTTGGCTACTAGTACTGGTTTGACCATGGTGATTGAAATATCTGAGATCAATAGTTTTGTTTCCTTCAATGGTTTCGTCTTCTTTATTATGCTTCCATATGAACTCTTTCAATACAACACAGAGGGACAGTGTGGTAAGTAACAAGAATAAATAAAATATTTCAGCACTTTCTCTTCAAGGAGGTACCTTTAAAAGAAATGAATTAATATGTGAATATGTCCACTATTATAAAAATCAATATCAAAATAAAGTGTTGTAGTAAGTTGATGTTTAGCAGTCAGAATATTTGTCTTTCAAACTCTTTGCATTTCCATTTATAAAAAAATTCAAAGTTCCTGCTATTTCTATCTAGCTGAATCAGTGGCTTGATTCAGTTCAGAAATAAAAATGCCTTCAAGATGTACTAGCTTTCAATAATTTCATTCATGCAGACTGGCTAACCAGTGTTGTGGAAATGGTTTCTCACAAGTTTTTCCTGGGATATTTCTCACTTTTCCAGCGTTTTTCACAAACAGCGTTGGAGTTCCCAGTGGTTTTCCATCCAGTTTCTAATCAGGTTTGACCCAGTTTAGGTTGTGAAACAAGCCATGTAGGCTTAGGTGATGTCACTTTCTAAGTAAATTGATATAAAGCAAGGGTGTCAAGCTCAATCTCATTGAGGGATGCATCAGGGTTATGTTTGACCTATGGGGGCCACAATGCGTGTAGCCAGGGTGGGCATGGCCATATTGATGTCACTTGTGTCAGGGGTGCCTATGATGGCCCAAGTGCTCTGCCAGTGAAAAAAGGCTTCCAATCTCGGTTTTCAGCTGGGATGGTCTCCTGCAACTCTCTGCCAGCAAAAACAAGAAGGGCTGCAAGCTTTGTTTTACCTAGCAGAGGGTTGCAGGAGGCTATCTCATCCGAAAACAGAGGTTGGGGTCTGTTTTCATTGGCAGAAGCTGTTTCCAGGGCAACCCCAAGGCCAATTCTAAGCACCCCATGGGCCAGATTCTAGCCACAGGCCTTGAGTTTGACACCCCTGATATAAAGGAAATCCACCCACACATATACAAATAGACACAAATACTGATGTGAGCCATCATTCACAATGTGTGTATGCTTGTATGTTATAGAAATGTGCCCATATGATATCATTATTTCTTATTATGGAAATAGGAAATCCATCTAAATGTTATTTCAAGTGCGCATGCTGAATATTCATACAAATTGCATTTTTAGCCTACTTATGATTCACCTCTTTTTATTCCTAGGGAGCTGTTCAAATGACCAATCAGATGATTGTCGCAAGCCCAATGGGCAGAAAGCTTCCTCCTGCTCAGAAATGGCAATCCACTGGCAAGTGCCTGATATCAATAAGCCCTACTGCCAGGTGCCAACACCACCTCCTACAATGAGCACAACTACACTAGTGGAGACCTCACCAACACCAACATCAATACCAACACCAACACCCTGCAGCTCTCCATCACCTTTGTGCGAGCTGATTATAAGCGAGTAAGTGAAACTCAGCTTTTGCAAACATGTCCTCTTTTGTCTCTAGCACAACAAATAATATGAAAGCTTCCCAGAAAACATTGGAGGCCCATCAAATATAAAGTTACTTTGAATAGCAGGAGCAGGACCTGAACATGCATCATATGAAAGATTGTGAGGTGCATGCACAAAAACACATCTATATTCATTTATAGGCAGAAACATTAACTAGCATGTGCCGCAGAATTGCTTGAGGGTCAGGTTACCTGCTTCACTGTAATTTTGCCATAATTAAGACTAACCCTAACCCTAAATATATTTATCCATGTAGTGGGGATGAATTGAATTATCCTTCTCATCTTCTCATCTTTCCTACTATCTTTCCTATTGGTATCTTATGATTTATCACTTGTTTTTTGTCTTTTATGATTTATGATTTATGACCTAAAGGTGCTTTCCAAGGGGCAACTGGATTTTCTTGTTTCTTTTTGGAGATGTTTCACTTCTCATCCAAGAGTCTTCAAAGAAAAACCAGAAAGCACCTTTGGGATAACCATGACCTGAGTGACTGAGAAGCTCCATAGACAATGTATCTATGACTTAGCACTTTGTGTGTATACTCATAATTTATGTACCAGAGACAAATTCCTTGTGTGTCCAATCACACTTGGCCAATAAAGAATATTCCAACTTGTCCTGTATCAGCCCATCAAATAGATGTCTACAAGCTACTCCTATTCCCCAATTCTATCCACTCACCAAGCCTTCCTCTCTTCTTTCCCTTGTTTCTCAGCAGCCTATCACTTATCTGGCATAATGATAGGAAAGGGAGCTTCACCAGCAGAATAGCAGTTCTTCATGATCTGGGCATTACCTGATTATTGAGCTATGAAGCAGCAGCTCTAACTGTAGTCCAGATGGGAGGCTAGCTCAGTCTACAACCAGTCCTTGGGCCATGAATAGTCTCCCCAACTATACATAGACCTTCTATAGCAATATTATGATATCTCACAGAATTAGGAATTACTTTGTATTATTTACCAGCTATTCAAATGATCCACAGATTTCTTATATATGAGATAGAATAGTAGTCTAGGAATATGACATAGCAGTGCAGATTCAGAATTTTTAAATGCTTCAGTATCATGCCTTGCCACAAGGCTTATTCTTTTAGTTGTACCTTCACCATGAAAAAAAAAAAGCTCGCTTAATTGATATTATTTTAATTTCATTTCCTGGTTTTAAAGTATTTTTGCAGATTGCCATAAATATCTGTCTCCAATAAACTTCTATAACAACTGCATCCATGAAACATGTCAGCCTTCCAATGATTCCTTGAGTTGTGTCTACATTGAAATGTATGCCTCTCTTTGTACGGCTAACGGAGCTTGTGCTGACTGGAGGAACAAAACTGAAGGGAAATGCCGTAAGTAGAGAATGAAGAACAACAAGGTGACATGGGCAAACATTATTTGCATCTTGTATCCCAATCATTTTTCAGACTTTATTCTTGTTTTTAAAAGATTGAAAAGCAAATGCAAGGTAGCAGAAAATGTATAAAGCACTGGGAAGAAAAGGAATGGATTCCATTTCTTGGAAGTTGCACTTAGAACATAAGCTTCAGCTAATTCTTCATTGTATTCCAGTCTTCAGATATATCTGCTCTCTCGTATCAGTCTTTCTGTTTTTCTAGAATGTGGGTGGAGAACCCACATTATAAGAGCCGAGGTGGGGCAGTGGTTAGGGTGCAGTACTGCAGGCCACTTCATCTGACTGTTATCTGCAGTTCAGCGGTTC